GATAGATGAGTGGATGGATGGATAGATTTAGATGGATGGATTGGTGGATTGATGAATTGATGGGTGGATGGATGAATTGATGGGTGGATTGATGGATGGATGAATTGATGGGTGGATGGATGGATGGATTGGTGGATTGATGAATGGATGGACGAGTGAATTGATGGATGGATGGATGGATGGATAGATGCGTGGATGAGTGGATGAATGGATGGGTGGATGGATGGATGAGTGGATGGATGAGTGGATGGATAGATGCGTGGATGAGTGGATGGATGGATAGATTTAGATGGATGGATTGGTGGATGGATGGACGAGTGGATTGATGGATGGATGAATTAATGGGTGGATGGATGGATGGGTGGATGGATGAGTGGATTGATGGATGGGTGGATGGATCAGTGGATGGATAGATGAGTGGATGGATGGATGGTGGATGGATCATTGGATGGATAGATGCGTGGATGAGTGGATGGATGGATAGATTTAGATGGATGGATTGGTGGATTGATGGATGGATGGACGAGTGGATGGATGGATGGATAAATTGATGAGTGGATTGATGGATGGATGAATTGATGAGTAGATTGATGGATGGATGAATTAATGGGTGGATGGGTGGATGGATGGATGGATGGATGGATGGATGAGTGGATAGATGGATAGATTTAGATGGATGGATTGGTGGATTGATGGATGGATGGACGAGTGGATGGATGGATGGATAAATTGATGAGTGGATTGATGGATGGATGAATTGATGAGTAGATTGATGGATGGATGAATTAATGGATGGATGGATGGATGAGTGGATAGATGGATAGATTTAGATGGATGGATTGGTGGATTGATGAATGGATGGATGGATTGATGGGTGGATGGATTGATAGATGGATGGATGGATTAGTGGATTGAAGTATTGATAGATAGATAGATAGATAGATAGATAGATAGATAGATAGATAGAATAATTCTGAACTAATTTAAATATTTGAAGTAGAGATGCAGAGATGTATCAGCCGATCGTTCAAGAACAGCCGATGATTGGCGGATTATATGCTGTCAATCAAACGGGTTCAGAGAGACGACTCTGCCTCTGAAGTCTCGCTCTTCTCCTCAGGGTTTCCAGAACACAGACGCGTCTCCGTCCGAGCAGAACGCGGAGATCTTACGAACGCTGAAGTATCTGAGCGGCGTCGTGGACAGCATGAAGACACCGCCGGGGTCGAGGGACAACCCTGTGCGCTTCTGCCGAGACCTGCTGGACTGCCAGAGCCAGATGAGCGACGGTGAGCCTCTTCATCAGCCTTCATCACGCATCAGTGTCCAGTCCTGTTGGAACAGGTGTCAGTGTTAAAGGCACACTTCCGTTTTTGTCAAACAGCGCCCCCTAGAGTATCGGCTGATAAAACACATTATTTTCGCTATCGGCCGATTGTTTAAGAGCAGCGGATTATATCCTGTCAATCTAAATCTGTGTGAAGAGAATCTCTCCTGTCTACGCAACAATAAGGCTTTAATAGTTAAAAAATCGCCACATTAATGCAAACTTTATTAGACTGTAGTTCAGGGTTGCCAGATCTGCAGTTTTCCCGCATCAGACATTATCAATCATCACACAGAGCTTTGTGCTATCACTTCTGATAAGAAACAAAGTCTCAGCTTTCAAATTCTATACATTTTAATAAAACTCAAACAATAAATGGTGTTTTGACGCTCTTAAATGTGACGTGACAGATCGCTGTATAGTTTGCGGCATTATTTGGGAGAGATTTTCCTAGAGATTATTGTTATCTTCTGATATCGTTCTGAATGATCGGCGGAGAAATGTAGCGTCAGTGCATCTCTAGAGTAGGGATGGGCAACGATTAATCGCGATTAATCGCATCCAAAATAAAAAGTTTGTGTTTACATAATATATGTGTGTGTAGTGTGTATAATTAATTTGTATATGAAGAGTTCAGATGCAAAAGCCTCTAAATGCCATTTGAAATTTTCTTCTTTAATGATGATTTTTGTCAAACTTGTATATTCAAGTTCAGTAATTTCACTTAAATAACAATTAATAGGTAATTATCATTGCCATTTAAGTGAAATTACTGAACTTAAATATACAAGCTTGACAAAAATCATCATTAAAGAAGAAAATTTCTAATGGCATTTAGAGGCTTTTGCATCTGAACTCTTCATATATAAAAACCCACACGTGCATGTATATATTTAAGAAAAATGTGTTATTAATATATCAAATATGTATATTTATATATAATATTAATTGTGAATAAATATATATAAAATATATACATGCACATATTTCTTAAATATATACATGCATGTGTGGGTATTTATATATACAAATTAATTATACACACTACACACACATATATTATGTAAACACAAACTTTTATTTTGGATGCGATTAATCGCGATTAATCGTTGCCCATCCCTACTCTAGTTGTAAGTCTTCTTGTGGAATGACGGCTTTAAATCATCAACTTTGTTTTGGTGTGTGTGTGTGTGTGTGTGTGTGTATCAGGACTGTTCTGGGTGGATCCGAACCTAGGCTGCACGTCTGACTCCATCCAGGTGTTCTGTAACTTCAGCTCAGGCGGACAGACCTGTCTGAACCCCGTCTCCACTGATAAGGTACTGCCATATATACTCAAATATGATATTACAATAACACTGATCATAATCAATTCCCAGATCGCAACGTCTGCAAGATGTCTGTTAAAGATCCCTTCGTCTGGAAAGCATCTGATCTTTAACATGCATTCTAAATCAATACATCTTAAAGACATCTTCTAAACGTCTGTTTGACAACGTCCTTAAAAACACTCTAAAAAATATATCTTCATGATGTAAACACGCGCATCAAATAGACGTTCTATTACGTCCAGAATTAACTTCTGCTGCTGTTTTTAAATTACGTTTTACTCTGAAACTGAGAAAATCACAGGCGTGAATCTAAACAAGTCGTGCTCCATATTTGAGCTTTTTTAGTTTTGTTTCAAGCTTGAGCGTTCAGTGAGAGTGTGTTCGGCTGCAGTACCAAACGCTTCCTCTAGGGGAAACTCATCACTCATTTCCAATGCGTCATTTCTGACCGCGAGAAACACGAATGTGACGGATCATTTAACCTTTTCCATTCACATCCATGATTTGTGTGTGTGTTCATATACTAAGTGCCCAAACCTTGAAATAAAAATCTGAACCAAACAGCACCATAGAGTTAAATACATGTAGTTTGAACTCACACTTTAATTCGGTTCATGTAATGACATCATTTCCATGGAGCTCTGATTAAACTCACTAAAGTTTGACTGTAAAAGCTCAAAATGAATGTTTCTGCATCATGAAAGTGTTTTTCTCTCTCTCTTCATTCCCTTACGGACGAAATCAAGCAAAGTTTCCTCGTTATCTAAACACCGAGAAGCGTTTGATGAAACTCAAGGTCGTGTTTCCTCTGAAAGGACAATCTGATTTTCATTTAAAGCTGATTTTCCTGTAAGCCGGATCATTTGTCAGCTTAGACCGTAAACATACAGTTGCCAAAACGCAGAATGCTGATTGCATAAACACTAAGAAGCATGTGTGTGTGTGTGTGTTTCCGATCTTCGCAGGCCGTGTTTGATGTGGGGAAAGTCCAGATGAAGTTCTTACACTTGTTGAGTGTGTCGGTCACTCAGAGCGTTTCCCTCCACTGTTTGAACGAGCCGGCGGACACTGGCGGCCGCGCGCCGAGGGCTCTGCGTTTCCAGGGCTGGAGCGGTCAGGTGTTCCAGGAAAACACTCCTCTGAGTCCTCAAGTGCTCCTGGACAACTGTGAGGTGATGTGAATCTGGATTAAAGATCCGGCTTTAGTCTACCCCAGATAGCAAACTGACATTGAATCAACGTGGAAATATGACACTTTGAAACAACGTTGATCTGACATTGTTTTGCTCATCGAATTAACGTTGAACCAACGTCAGACGCGTCATTCTTTCAAAACTAATGGAAAATCAACTTGAAATCAACGCGTTGTTTCAACGTTATGAAAGCAAACCAATTTTCGATTTTCATTTAGCTTTGAAGAATGCCGCGTCTGACGTTGGTTCAACGTTAATTCGATGAGCAAAATCAACATTGTTTCAATGTCATGAGAGACGTCGTTTCCACGTTGATTCAATGTCAGTTTGCTGTCTGGGACACTTGACGTGACTGCGTTCACATTCAGAGAATTAATCTATTCTTTAAAGGGATAGTTCACTTTGAAATTAATTTTTGATATGTTTTATCTTACCTCAAGGGCATCTTTGTTTCCGCAGTATTTTCAATTTTGACATTTCGCTCAAACCGTTGTTGTCTATCAGTCATACACTGGAGGCTAAGGGGGTCCACCAAAGAGCAGCACAGAGAAGTCCAAATTAAACATGATTTAATGACTCGTGAATGTAAGTACACACTGATGGCCTAAGACACGAAACGAGCGGTTTGTGTGAGAAAACCAACAGTAAACAATCGTTTTACCTCGTGTAATCCAAGTGATCTGAATCAGTTGTTCAATGTCCAACTGAACCGAACTGAATCAGTTCAATGTTACGCCGGAAGTGATCGCTTGCGTGTGACGTCACTCAATATTTACACGGAGATTTCGGAAGTTTTACCTTTTACTAAATATATTTAGATATACCGAAATCGTCTTCCATTGCGGTTTCCCGTATATCTAAATATGTTTAGTGAAAGGTAAAACTTCCCAAATCTCTGTATAAACAAAGAGTGACGTCCAGACCGAAGCGCCCGTGCCGTCAGATCATTTTGTCATGGCTATGGTTACAAGAGGTAAAAACAATATAAACACTGTTCGTTTTCTCACAAAAACCGCTCGTTTCGTGTCTTAGGCCATCAGTGTGTACTTACATTTACGAGTCATTAAATCATGTTTAATCTGGACTTCTCTTTGGTGGACCCCCTTAGCCTCCAGTGTATGACTGATAGACAACACCGGTTTAAGCGAAAAATATCAAAATTGAAAATACTGTGGAAACAAAGATGCCCTTGAGGTAAGATAAAACATATCAAAAATTAATTTCAAAGTGAACTATCCCTTTAAAATCATTTCTGTCAGCTCTTCCGCCACGAAACTGCACTTCCCCGCGCGAGACTGTTGTTAACCTTAAAGTATTTCATGCGATTCTGGGATCGAATACTTGAGGTCTGGAATCAATCGGATACTTGTAATATAATAAATATTTCGATTCCTCATATCGATTCTTTTCAATATGAGCGAGACTGTGTGTTCTGTCCTCATGTGTGTGTATCAGTGTGTTGCTCTTAAAGTGACAGCGCTCATATTTCTGCCGCTGTTACACTACGTTAACTCACTCGACGCCCACACAGACGAACATGAAGAGTTGAATAAAGTCGTTATTTTGTGCACAAAAGTATTCTCGTCGCCTGATAATCTTAAGGTTGAGCCGCTGTCGTCACTCGGACTATTTTAACCAGTGTTGTAGTACTCGAGACTCGGACTCGTCTCGGACTCGGTCTCGAGACCATATTTTAATGGTCTTGGTCTTGTCATGGACTCGTGTGCATTTGGACATTTTTTTTTTTTAGGACTCGGACTTATTCCCGAGTCCACTCGAGTTCAATTCAAAATATTTTTCATGATTATTAATGTATGTTAATAAAATATTTCTTTAAATTGATTGACACGCCCAGTGATTGGTGATTTTCTAGTGCGCAACTGCGCATGACAAATTGTAATAAAATTACTTTTAACACCACCTACTATGTGGCCTTTTTACCCTAAACTGATCATATTTTTTAAACTCTAAGTAAATTCAGTAAAAAAAAAAAAAAAAGAATTTCTCTAAGTAAATAAAAGTAAATTAGGTAATCAACCCTCACTGGTCTCGGTCTCGACTCGGACTCGACCGTCTCTGGTCTCGGACTCGACTCGGACTCGACCGTCTCTGGTCTCGGACTCGACTCGGACTCGACTCTCTCTGGTCTCGGACTCGACTCTCTCTGGTCTCGGACTCGACTCGGACTCGACTCTCTCTGGTCTCGGACTCGACTCGGACTCGACTCTCTCTGGTCTCGGACTCGACTCGGACTCGACTCTCTGTGGTCTCGGACTCGACTCGGACTCGACTCTCTCTGGTCTCGGACTCGACTCGGACTCGACTCTCTGTGGTCTCGGACTCGACTCGGACTCGACTCTCTCTGGTCTCGGACTCGACTCTCTCTGGTCTCGGACTCGACTCTCTCTGGTCTCGGACTCGACTCTCTCTGGTCTCGGTCTCGACTCTCTCTGGTCTCGGACTCGACTCTCTCTGGTCTCGGACTCGACTCTCTCTGGACTCGGACTCGACTCGGACTCGACTCTCTCTGGTCTCGGACTCGACTCTCTCTGGTGGACTCGACTCTCTCTGGTCTCGGACTCGACTCTCTCTGGTCTCGGACTCGACTCTCTGGTCTCGAACTCGACTCTCTCTGGTCTCGGACTCGACTCGGACTCGACTCTCTCTGGTCTCGGACTCGACTCGGACTCGACTCTCTCTGGTCTCGGACTCGACTCTCTCTGGTCTCGGACTCGACTCTCTCTGGTCTCGGACTCGTCTCTCTCTGGTCTCGGACTCGACTCTCTCTGGACTCGGACTCGACTCGGACTCGACTCTCTCTGGTCTCGGTCTCGACTCTCTCTGGTCTCGGACTCGACTCTCTATGGACTCGGTCTCGACTCTCTCTGGTCTCGGACTCGTCTCTCTCTGGTCTCGGACTCGACTCTCTCTGGACTCGGACTCGACTCGGACTCGACTCTCTCTGGTCTCGGACTCGACTCTCTCTGGTCTCGGACTCGACTCTCTCTGGTCTCGGACTCGACTCTCTATGGACTCGGTCTCGACTCGGACTCGAGTGAGGTGGTCTCAACTACAACACTGATTTTAAAAATGTCTTTAATAACTTTCTGGGCCGGTAAGTTTTAATTACAATAGAAGCCTATGGAGGAGTGATCCAGCTCTCAGATTTAATTTGTGTCCTGAAGATGAACGAGAGTCTGACGGGGTTGAACAACATGAGGAAGAGTGATTACTGACAGAGTTTACATGTTTGGGTGGTGAACTATCCCTTTAACTTATCTGTGTGTTGTTGTTTTGAACCAGAGTGATTTATTTTCCCGCTTCTCCCGACAGATCCGCGACGGCGGCTGGCATCAGTCCCGATTCCTGTTCCAAACGCAGGACACGCATCATCTTCCCATCGTGGACGTTCAAGGTCTCGTTCCCTCGAGTCCAGGAGACCAGCGGCGCCTGGAAGTGGGTCCGGTTTGCTTCCTGTGAAACCACTGAAGGACTTCGTCTCCGAACGGGCCGAGCGACTGACGAGCAGACGAGACCGCAGTTGTGTTTATCTGTGGAGTCTCGGGTGCGGTGTGCCCCGGTCCATCTCGAGTCCCGCTGTCAGACGAGGTTGTTCTTGTTAAAGACTCTTTAGACGGCACTCTACCTCCTTCACGTACAGGTGCTCGTTTCCCAAACAAACTCTACGCAAGTACGCCAGCGCAAACTCACGCTCATCGTAATCACTGAGTCTGAGTCTGTCAGAAACACAGCCGAGTTTAGACCTCAAGTTAGACCCGTCGACGGTTTTCTGACATAGAAATAACTGTTAAGACAGCAGTGTGAAGACAAATCTTGCTGAGCAGTTAGTTGAAGAACACTAGTTATGTTATAATCCACATCCATCCACATATTCTAATGCAAATTTGGGGACATTAAAAAAAGCTGGATGGAAATGCCATCAACACTTGCAATAAGATTTCATTGGTAACTCTTTACAATAAGGTTCATTAGTTAGCATTGATTAGTGTATTAACTAACTATCTATCAATGAGCAATGCATTTGTTACAGTATTTAGTATAATAATAATCCAGCTGTTTAATGACGTATTATTAAATGTTGAACTTAATATTAACTGAGATTAATGAAAGCTGTAGAAGGATTGCTCATTCTTAGTTCATGTTAACTAATGAACCTTATTGGAAAGTGCTACAAAAAAACGTTCTCTGATAGGAAAATATGCGCATCAACTATGATGGAAACATTTACCAAGACTTTTTATTCTTTTATTACTGATATTTTGCACCAATTTTCCAGAATGTGCTGATGTTGTCCTCTTGAACACATGCGAGTGAAGCTCTGCTGTATTTGGCTATTTCAATAGTTGTGTTTTGCAGAAGCGTGTTTCCGCCACAGAATAAAACACTTTAAAAGATAATTGCGACTTTTTATCTACAGTTGCGAATTTACATCTCGCAATTCTGACTTTATATCTCGCAATTCTGACTTTTTTAACTCGCAATTCTGACTTTATAACTCGCAATTCTGACTTTATATCTCGCAATTCTGACTTTATATCACGCAATTCTGACTTTTTTAACTCGCAATTCTGACTTTATATCTCACAATTCTGACTTTTTTAACTCGCAATTCTGACTTTATATCTCGCAATTCTGACTTTATATCTCGCAATTCTGACTTTATAACTCGCAATTCTGACTTTATATCTCGCAATTCTGACTTTTTTAACTCGCAATTCTGACTTTATATCTCGCAATTCTGACTTTATATCTCGCAATTCTGACTTTATATCTCGCAATTCTGACTTTATATCTCGCAATTCTGACTTTATAACTCGCAATTCTGACTTTATATCTCGCAATTCTGACTTTTTTAACTCGCAATTCTGACTTTATATCTCGCAATTCTGACTTTATATCTCGCAATTCTGACTTTATATCTCGCAATTCTGACTTTATTTCTCGCAATTCTGACTTTTTTAACTCACAATTCTGACTTTATATCTCGCAATTCTGACTTTTTTAACTCACAATTCTGACTTTATATCTCGCAATTCTGACTTTTTAACTCGCAATTCTGACTTTATATCTCGCAATTCTGACTTTATTTCTCGCAATTCTGACTTTTTTAACTCACAATTCTGACTTTATATCTCGCAATTCTGACTTTTTTAACTCGCAATTCTGACTTTATATCTCGCAATTTTGACTTTTTTAACTCACAATTCTGACTTTTTAACTCGCAATTCTGACTTTATAACTCGCAATTCTGACTTTATATCTCGCAATTCTGACTTTTTTAACTCGCAATTCTGACTTTTTAACTCGCAATTCTGACTTTTTAACTCGCAATTCTGACTTTATATCTCACAATTCTGACTTTTTTAACTCGCAATTCTGACTTTTAACTCGCAATTCTGACTTTTTTAACTCGCAATTCTGACTTTATATCACACAATTCTGACTTTATTTCTCGCAATTCTGACTTTATATCTCGCAATTCTGACTTTTTTAACTCGCAATTCTGACTTTTTAACTCGCAATTCTGACTTTTTAACTCGCAATTCTGACTTTATATCTCACAATTCTGACTTTTTTAACTCGCAATTCTGACTTTTAACTCGCAATTCTGACTTTTTTAACTCGCAATTCTGACTTTATATCACACAATTCTGACTTTATTTCTCGCAATTCTGACTTTATATCTCGCAATTCTGACTTTTTTAACTCGCAATTCTGACTTTTTAACTCGCAATTCTGACTTTTTAACTCGCAATTCTGACTTTATATCTCACAATTCTGACTTTTTTAACTCGCAATTCTGACTTTTAACTCGCAATTCTGACTTTTTTAACTCGCAATTCTGACTTTATATCACACAATTCTGACTTTATTTCTCGCAATTCTGACTTTTTTAACTCGCAATTCTGACTTTATATCACACAATTCTGACTTTATTTCTCGCAATTCTGACTTTATATCACGCAATTCTGACTTTAGAACTCGCAGTTCTCACTTTATTTCACACAATTTGAGATTCTGCGATGCCATTGGTCCACTGGTTACTGCAGTTATCCAATCACAGCCTCTGCTGAGGCACTTTGATGGATTTATTCGGAAAATCGTAGTTTATGCACATCTTCCTATTGAATAAAACAATGTATCCGCCTCAATTGAGCGCATATGTTTGAGTTATGAATATTTTTTTTATTTATGCATGTCTTTGCGTATCCATCCAGTGTTTTTTTAATGCAATTTTCACAAAATGCGCTTTAATAATAGGTGGATGGCGGTATAGCTATTGTTTTGCAACTTTCGATGGAAAAATAGCTACAGACTGTGATATTTGAAGGAACCACAGAAACACAAGTGTGCATGTCACGTATGTTCATCCACCAGTCAATCATTGGGATCTGTGTGTTTGTGTACCGTGTGTTTCTGGCCGTAAGGTGCTTGTTTGTGCTGGCTTCTTCTGTGTGTAGTCATTTCAATCAGAAAAAAAAACTAATTTATATGAACAGTGTGTTGATAAGTTATGCTATACTTTGGCTTAATATACTTTATACGTTAAGGAGAACGTCGTTCATGACCCTTAAAGAGACGCCGCAAGTATCAGACTGATGAAAACGATAATGAGGATACTTGATGGAAGTTTTTGGCAGCGAATGGTTATTTGAAATAATTTTAAATATTTCAAATAAGCGAATTTACATGCTTTACAAAAACTTATATTCGTGATATCTTTAAGGTCCTAACCAGATGCCATGAGATTCTAGAGACAAAATCACAGCCAATCAGAAGAGATTGTGGGCGGAGTCTCTCTGCAAGCGCACTGCACTCGAATCAAATCAATCCAAAATCACAGCCAATCAGAAGAGTGTGTGGGCGGAGTCTCTCTGAAAGCGCACTGCACTCACAGCCAATCAGAAGAGATTGTGGGCGGAGTCTCTCTGCAAGCACACTGCAATCACAGCCAATCAGAAGAGAGTGTGGGCGGAGTCTCTCTGCAGGCGAACAGCAATCACAGCCAATCAGAAGACAGTGTGGGCGGAGTCTCTCTGCAAGACGTGACGCGTCTGGTTAGGACACGGTGTCAGGGTTGTCAACTTCTCTGTGGTGCTGCAGTATTCAGCGTTTGCAAAGAGTTAGTCATTTTTTTATTTTCCTTATGTATATTTGGACATTATATGTTTGTTTATTTATGTTATCTTTTTATTTCTCAAAAAAATACTGTACTCCAATAAATTATGATATCTCTCAGAGATCTATCTGGTCACTTACCATTTAGTTCGAAATCTTATTTATGTCAAATTTGTATTTGTATATAAACACAAACAGGGAGTATATGTTGTGTTCTGGCAGCTGCGATTGGCCAGATTCAGATCACGTGATCACACACAGGAAGTGTAACACCTGTTAACTTATGATTACAGTATCGAAACTGTCACTAAATGTGCCTACAGAAACAAAACAAAGACGAAAAATGTAAATATTTAATATTTTGACATTAAATAAAATGTATGATTTAATCACAATGTTCTCATGAATTATTTGTTATTTCTGTTATTTTGACATTGCCTTTTCCACATGGTGTCTGTCTAAATATGTTAACAATAATAATATTAACATATATGGAATATTGTATTACTTTAAGAAGGGAAAATATGTCATTTTAGATATTCATTTCATACTCTATTTATCATACTGTATATTTATAACATACAGTCATCCAAACATTCTATATATATATGTGTGTGTGTGTGTGTGTGTAGAGATAGATAAGTTTAGTAGTAGGCTACATTTAAGTTTACTGTTTTTTTTGTGAGGGTTCAAAATGTTGTACTAGCTCGTTTCAGCTCGACGTATTATTATGTTGATTAAGGTATGCTGTTTTGTGGTAATGTTAATATGTTTAATAATGATAATATGTTAATGCCTGTTTGCTATTTGAAATGAATTAATAAATAAATAAATCTTGACGGCCCGACTGTCGTAAACTGTCGTAAAGCGGCACGGAATACGGCAGACACGTGTGCGGAGCGTGCTGCACGTATCCAGTGTTTTGGTTAGATAGCGTAACATTAAATAATCCGTGTTAAATCTGTTGATGTGGTGAATATGTTACCTGTCATGGACAACAGCAGTGAAGCCGATGATGACCGGAGAGGAGTTAAGCGCAAGATAGCCTTGTCGAGGTCAGTTTCTTCAGTGTAAATATGTAATAATGTTGGGTAAATCGTAGTGTTTGTGTTTCTCTGTTTACATCTGTGAACGCATTGTCACTGTCGTATATATGTTTGGTTGTCTACAGTTAAATGTGGCTAAAACATCTGTATCAGTAAGATACTATAGTAAATTAAACGTAAGTTACCATGATTTACCGTTTAACAAACTAACTGTTAGGCTACGTGTTTTAACTCAATTAAATGGACATTATTGTATTCCGTTCATATCAGCATTCATATATCGATCATCTGACATTTAAAACTCATATTGATCGCTATTTGAAACATAAACAAAATTAATTTATAATTTAAAATGAGCAAACGTTTAGTATAAAATCCTCTTGTGTTTGTGTTTCGACTTCTTAAGTTGTGATGTTTGTGAGACTGAAGAGGCCAAATACAGATGTCCCAGCTGCAAGAAACACACCTGCAGGTGACACACACACACACACATTCACTCACTCTCTCACTTTCAAACACACACAATGCCATGTTAACGTATGATAACATAAAATACATATTAAATATATTAATGAAGAGTTCAGATGCAAAAGCCTCTAAATGCCATTTGAAATTTTCTTCTTTAATGATGATTTTTATCAAACTTGTATATTTAAGTTCAGTAATTTCACTTAAATGGCAATGATAATTACCTATTAATTGTTATTGAAGTGAAATTACTGAACTTGAATATACAAGTTTGACAAAAATCATCATTAAAGAAGAAAATTTCAAATGGCATTTAGAGGCTTTTGCATCTGAACTCTTCATATATATATATACTGTATATATATATTGCAAAAATAGAAACAAATATAACAAAAAAACATGTCAACGGTCCCCTTTAAAGCCTAAAGTATTCTTCAGCCGCCCGCATTTCTGTTCATGAGAAGAAATAAAGTATACCCGGGCCTTGTTGTGTTTGTGTATCCATAAATGTGTGTGTGCTGTTCTGAGCTCTGCTTCTGCCCTCAGTTTGGCTTGTGTGAAGCAGCACAAGATGGCGTCGGGATGCTGCGGTGTTCGAGACAAGACGACGTTCGTCCCTCTCTCTGAATTCGATGAAATGAACCTGCTCAGCGGTGAGTACCTGCAGCCGTCCGGACAGAAACCCCGTTTAATGAATGAGTTATCGAGGAGATAACGGTCCGCTCGTGTAGATTACAGGTTTCTGGAGGACACCGCTCGACTGAGTCAACAGTCCAACCGAGACGCCGTCCTGCTGC